ATTATGGTTTGTCTGAGCAATGCCTATTTTATAGAGTAATTTATGTTTAATTTCATACTTTTTCGAGGGGTGGTGGATAACATAGGGAAGATGACATTGTAAAAGAAAATGTGTCACGTGGGTCACACTAGGAGAAATTCATGATTATTTTAAATATTGCCTTGTAGAATTAAGAACTTAAAACATGTATACTATTAACATATGGATCGCTAGCTAAGATTTTATGCTATTCTTATTGGTATAATATAAACAAAAAGCAGTTTAATAAAATTTTGAATGTAAGACACTAAAACCTCATGTCATGAGCAGTAAAGGTTACCCATGACAACAGGGTTAAATTATAATAGTTATAGGACATTGTTTGCTTTGTTGTTTTTTTTGTTATTATTCTGTGTTCTTTTATGCATTCTTCAATAAATTCAAAATAATAATAATCTAAATAGTATGAATTTATATAATACATAAAGAAGTTTGAGCAATAATCTTGAAATGGTTGCAGCAATATGTATCACAGTTCAAAAACATTAACATCGTGATTGGATAAGCTATATACATGACGGTTTATCATATGAAATATTCTTACCTACAGTTCCTGGTATAGATGTCTGCCCCTAAAACAGAAATGAAACAGACACACATATATGAAGTACCATATCTCAAAAAAATGAATTTATAAAACTAAAAACTAACTTTGAGAATGACAGTTCAACTTGGAACTCACAAAAATTCTAATAAAAGGCCTTATGATGCAAGTCAGACAAAAATCAATTCAGATGGGTCATATTTACTACAGATATGACAAACATATGTGCATACCGTCTACTAATTTAATGTGGTGAAAAAACTAACATCTTGGTCAGATGTGTGAAAGAATGAAGTAACCAGATTTTGTCAGGCCTACTAGTAGTCTGAAACTCATTTGTTATTCAGAATATGCAACTTGTTCTCCAAAATTTTATTTAAGCCAAAAACCATTATAGTAGTTTCATGTGTAAAAATGATCTACTGATCACGATACTTGATTTTGATGTACCATGACAGGATTTAGGAAATTGTGCCAACCTGAAGACAGACCAAGGTACTGTTTAAACAAGTTGCATGTTTTTACAGTAAATACCATTGTGCTTAGAAATCAATCTTCGTCAATTTACTCCTCTACGAAAAAAGTTTTTAAACATATATTACACCAGTATTTTAATTTCCCCGATCTTTCATTTGTCTTTCAGATATCTAGACATCCCAATGAGTATCTATCTTAATATCTAGAAACAAACAAATTTTATTATCCATGAATATTTGGTTATATATTGCAACACATATTATGTGGATGTGGAAGAGTTTTTGTAAAGTTATTTTCCTAAGGTTGACACGAATTAAGACAAATAAGAAAATAGAAATTTCTATAACTATTATATAGAAACATGACATATTAACTACTTTCTACATTTTATCATTCATGGATTTCTTTTTCACTAGGTGCATGTGATTCAAGACAGTACATGTTCCAATATATATTGAGACATAATTGAGATACGTGTTAATACTAGATGTACTTCTGCAAAGTCCCTAAAAATGTTCTAAAAGTGATATGTCAAAACTAGTTGGGGGAAATTACCTTCATATTTTTGTAAATTTTGTGTTTGTTCTTCATTACTAAATTTGTGCTTATAAAGCTGTTAATCTTTACAAAATTTGTAGATAGCACAAAGTACTACTTAACTTGACTTTCTCTGTACTATAGAGCACAATCATCATTTGAAGATTAAGCAAAAAAAAAAGAATGCACCAGAAGTGGGAAGGATGGATAGGAAGTGTGAGATGTAGTAAGTATCTATCAAAAATACATTTACGATACCTTACCTCTTCTCACATAATACTGGGCTCCACATATCTGTGTTGTACAATTTGCACACCTGGCTTGACATGGTGGTTGAATAAGAAGAGAGCAAGTATGCCATTTGCACTTCCCATGATATGGAGTGAGCACAAAGATCATATAACTGATTGTTATTTTTGTATGACTAATGTTTCTGGATATTCAGGCAAAACTAAGCAATGCATTAAATATCCAGATATTACATCAGCAATGAAACCAGTGCCTTATGGTCTTCCAGTGCACTGGAAAAGATACATCCCAGCTGCAGTGAATGGGTTAAATGCGATTTTTAATGAATAAATAAAGTTATTAAAGAACAAGTTATTTTCACACTATATACGAATGTTTTGAATAAAATCTTTCATAACTCAATAACTAGAGGTGATCAGTAATTTTGAACATGAGTTTTAGAATTAGCATCATCAAAGTACTCAGAAACAGTTCCATTTTCTCTAGTAACAGAGAAACGTTTTTGTTGCCCAATGTAGAATCCCTCATTGAAAAGGTGGAGAGACTGGTGCAAAAGTTACGTAAGTGAGCATTCTCTGAAGGGCACCCAAACAAAACCTATGGAGAGAGATACCTTAATGTATTGGGTCACACTTGTGGGAGACTGCACCCCATCTGTACCAAGTAAACTCTTCACCTACTGTAAAGATAACAAGTCATGAAATTGTGCAGAAAAGATGCAGTAATAAGACATGCTAGATGGTGTAGAGTGGCTAGAGCACATAAGATTGTAATTGGTGGGTCAACTTTAGTCCAAATCCAAATGGCATCAGGTATTTGTTGTCCAGTCTGCAATAGAAGGAGAGTCCAAATTGTCTTCACATCAAGCCCAGGAAGTAGAAGGGAAAAGCAACTTAGATTCCAACAATCAAGGCAGGGCACATGTGTGAAGACCCAGTACACAGCCAGCACCAAGTCACCTGGGAACCCAACATCTGACTGACAGTAGGAAAAGGGAATGCAAAAATGACAGATCAACTCCAGTCCAAAATCATGCAGTGTGTGGAATTTTTCATCCAATCCACAGAAAGAGGAGGATCCCTACCAACCACATGTGTGGAGACTTATGTTGGTTGGTGCTACACTGATCCAACACCAGACCATCCAGGAATTGACATTCAGACAATGGGGGTAAGAACACAATACCATAAAACAGTGCAATGGGTGACCACAAAAACCCTATTTTTAAAAGCAGGCCAATCCTACTTTATTCAACTAAGACTGGAGGGATGAGCAGTGATTCCGACACTGCTTTACTCATGATAGTCTATGATTTGGTACAGTCTGGTACAGGCCTTATTTATGAAGCAAGATACTGTGAGGGACCCTCTCTTGCAGAACACCCCATCTCATCAGTGAGTGTTATAGACCTTTAAGAGCATATGGTGCAAATTTAAAGATGAGTATAACCTGAGAGGCACCACTCAAAACTAAGTGGGAACCAGAGATATAGAAATATGCCACTCTAAAGGTAAGATATATAAAAAGAGAACTTACCCATTCATATCTGGTAAAGGGAATGTAAAGTGGCAACAGTGGGTAGTCAATATCTGGAAGGAGAGACAGCCAGAAGATGAAGAAAATGTGTGATAAAATTGGGGTAGTCCACATGCCACTTTACACAGATGACAGAAAGGAAAAGCCAGAGAGAGATAGTACGGTATCAAATTTGACAAAGACACTTGACAGAGTTGATGTGAATCTATATACAATAAGCATAGGCTAAATGTACAAGGTACTGTAGCCATACCTTGAGAGTAATAGGAGATATATCCCAGGGAAATCAGGAATTCCAAAGTATAAATAGATAGGAGAATGAACTCTGAAAATGAGCAGAGCAGGCCAAAGAACAACATACCATATAGATGGTACACAGAATGTGATTTGAAACATAATGAGAATTATATTGAGAAAAGAAAATATGGAAAACAGCAATGGCATACACATCATGTATCCTACAGCCACAGGCAAAAAAGGAAGAAATAGGACGTAAATGAAAGATGTTACTTGAAACAAGAGACTAAATGGTCAAAGAGGAAGGGTAAGGGTGTGGAGAACAGCAGTCAGGTTCAAATCAGGAAAGACTGCAAAATGAGGAGGACAAAGGTGGCAAAATGAATAAAAAAGCACAGACAAAACAGAAGAGAAGAGTACATGACAATAATAATAAAACCTGAAAGTATTAGTTGGAGCTGCCCAGTCAAAAGCCACGTTTGAACAGCCAATGAAAACATTTTGAAAAATAGTGGATAGAGGGAAGGGAATGAAAAAAAACATGATTCAGAGAGCAACTATGGAAAGTGTGCCCTTGTCATGTATAGATAAGGAGGGATGAAGAATGAACTAAACAAGAAAAAAAGAAGGCTACACATACACAGAGTCTGGGACATCTCACAAAGGACTGGATAAAATCCATATGTGAAGTTGGAGTGATGATACTGCTGGATGGGAGAGAGAGAGGGGTAAGGTTGAGGGAGTAGGAAGAGTGACAGAGATGGAGAAAGAGAAGAAAAAGATAGGAGAACATGCAATGGAGGACACCATAGCTGAGCCAGACAGTAAGAAGTTATCAGGAGGATTCAACATGGAGTGTCTAGAATGAGGGAAAATACAAGGAAGAATATATTTAGAAAGTTAGGCATGGAGAAAAAAATGCTGGACCAATTATGATGCAATGTGTTCCCAGCTAAAGCTGAGGGAAGAGGAACAGGGGACCAGAAAAGGGAAAGAAGGATGTTGAGAAGAGTGGCCAGACAAGAGCACAACAATTTAAACACCAGAGGAATAAGTGACTAATCCATAGGTAGTACCTTGGTGGGCCTCGAGAGATGATCCACGATAAGACTCAGAACACCTAGAAAAGAACAAGTTATTAGATGTTCTTGTATAGAATAGATCCAGAAAAGTAGGTTGATTGTGTGGAAACAGGGAGAGCAAAACAAAGTCTCGCACTGGTGATTGATAAAGGAGTCAACTGTACAGTTGAGTGTATGTATCATCAAGAAATGTCTATGAACCATCCTAAAAAAATTTGATATACCACCAGAAGTTCTTAGAGATGGAGTTGAAGGGATATGTCATGGTACCAATGACCCAAATTCACGTGAGAGTTGAGACATGTCCCATCTCATCAAGGTGGCTTCTGCAAACAGAATGAAATCTGGACAAAGGAAGAGGAATACCCACTATGGGAGTAATTTTAACAGGTCACCAGGGGAAGAATTTGAGTAAGAAAGGAGGAAAGAGAATGACTGAAGACAATGGACAGTAAGCAAGGATACAGAAAACATGCACTCCATTATAAATGTCACAAATGAGCATGATTCAAGGGGATGTGGGATTCCACTGAAGCTGTAGAAGAACAAGGTGGCTGTATCAGGCTTGTGGGGACAGAGCCAAATGAAAAAGAAGTATCCAAAATTTCCACCTCGATCATCCCAAGACTATGCAGTGAGAAATTCCCCATGGAAAACCAAGTGAAGAAGATAAACCAACTGAGACATGAAAGATGTATGACTCAACACCCAATTACAATTCCCTGGGAACCACAAAAAGATGAGAAGAAAAACCTGGAAATGAATGAAAAACCCATTCAACAGTGGTTGTAGGCATTAGTACCAATGTTGGCAAGAAACAGGATTACTTGGAGGATGTAATATAATGGGAACAGAAGACATTGGAGAAGGAGAGGAAAAAAGAAAGTTAGGGCTCTCTGATAGAAATTCC